GATTCGTGACTTCAATATTGAGTAGGCCTGAGCTTCAGCCGCCAAGTTGGAAGAAAGATGGTAAGTGTCAATAAATTTTATCATGAAATTGACTCACATCGAATGGATAGTTCTGTATCAAACGTGTCATAAAAAAACTTGTGATGTGTTTAATATTTAGTCGAGATTGGCTGAACTATAAAATTTAGGGGGACCAGCTGAGGAAACGAAAATTAAACAATGAATAGGATACACAGCATCGATATGTTTTCTTTGAAAGGACTGATGGGAATGGCTGAGTCGAGAGAAATGTCTAAATATTGTGTTTTATTTACTACTTAATGTAGACGGCAGTATCAAGTTCATGCGACCACTGGTTAACATCTAATAATATCATATATAGGTATGCACAAACATTATTATTATGGATTTTTTATGGTACACGTAACTGATTCAAACTATTTGCCCCAAAAAGCATCTGTCGTTTTTTTGTGAGCTGACTGAGCCCTCGATTCTTGCTTTGCTGATACATGTATTGTATGTGTATGCATGGTCACTATGACGGTACAAACAAAAAAAGAACCTTACACACAGTCCAGTTTATTTTCCTACTTTTTGTGGAATCAGCCCCTACCTATTTCAGCATTCAAATTGAAATGATACGCTATCCGCTTCTCTGTGCCTGAAATCCACTAGTGAAAATGTAGGCTTTAAAAAAGCGCCATACTACAGGAAGTTCCCATGAACATGACAGAGCTTGCAAAAAAAGCCAGCGTCGATCGAAGCATTTCACGATCTCGTCAATAAGCAGCAAACAATTGAACAGACACACTTGTGTTATAGGTGGGTCCTGCGCCTTGGTGCTATATTGTGCTACGAGGTTATATTTATTATAATCATAGTTTCTATTTATGCCGTCCATGCGGCTACAGCCTGCGTGCAACATGCTTGCTGTTACCGACTGCCCTTGTCTCTTTCCGTATTCTCCAGCGCAGCTATACGCTTCTCTGGTTTTTTTCTTGCTTCCTAGGTGTAGCTTTAACAAACAGAAGATCACCGTACTCATGAAGCCTAGAAGCCCAGGCTATGCACGTGACACAACGAGGTATCGGTCAAAATAAGGTGGGGTCGGGTGCAGAGCTTATCCCTGCTTGGGCTATCAAGGCTTCAGAGATCCCGCTGTTTCCGAATTTAGCAAACTTGGAGATCCTAGAGAACTGCAGTCCTCTCTGCGTTGACTCAGTCCACCTTTTGTATTCAATCCTCGCCAGCTTTCACAATCCTCGCACTCGACGACTCGCGGGCTCCTTACATGCTTGCAAAAATAACTTTACCGATGCTTATTACATCTCCCAAGTTGCAAAGCTCACAGTTACTTTTTCTGGCAATCAGGCTAGCCCGCCAACTTCACACACTGGCGCACGTCTCATAAGCATACACCATTTTCGAGAGAGAAAAAACTTCCACAAGTCAGGAAAGGCATCGGAGTCCTTATTGCTTCTTTTACTTACCTGGCAACTGAGCTTCGTTTTTTTCAGGTGCAGTCCCGCAGGAATTCCGACATAGTGAAGGAGCTTCGCTAATTTCTAGCTAAGGTCGCTCGACTTTTGTCCTTTGCTGTCTACGAGTTTCTATCCTGCGTTTCTAAAAAACCTATACGAAAACTAAAAGGACACATAGCTTCAAAGTATATAAAATGTCTTGTCTACCTCCAGATACTTCCTAGTCTGTCCTTATAAAATATGTATGTTTTTGTCGATTTTTCGATATTCTCTGGTACAGCGGACATCGACAATCTCAGAATTTTCTCGCGTTAGCGCTTGCCTGGCACGTCTTGTTCCCGCTTTCATCGTCCGAGATCTCCCTTTAGCTAGCTTGGACACAATTCTTTATGGTCGGGTGGCTTTCTTTATCATGTTAATATCGAGCTGGCTTTTCTATAGGCGATGGATAAGCGGGCTGCAAATAGTGTGAACGGTATCAGCAAGATCACGGCACGAATTTTAGTGTTCGATGGGATTACTGCACTCTTAATGAGATGGAAGAACTGCAGGGTACAGACAGGCATATCAATAGAGTGTCAGCTATTCTCTTAGCTGAGGTCGTAAGAGCGTTGTGCCCTCCGAAGACCTAGACTCTCATTGCACCGCATGTTTTTAGCCTTAGGTTAGAACAACCTTAAGTTCAAAATATGTTGCTTACGAAGGCAGCCTACATTTACTTGGACTAGTTGATGACTGACTAGTGATTAAATCTACTACTGAATTTCGTAACTAGTGTATAACAGTAGCACTTTTCTGTGTCCTTTAATAAAGATAGAAACTCCTGCGCTGATTGGGACACTAAAAATCGGCACTTATTTTTCTGCTTATGTTCCATATATTCTCCATCTGTTTGATGAGATACAACGTCATTCAAGATGGACGTTTACTGTGAAGATCAAATAAGCCCATAGGGTAGAAAAACATATCGCTAAAGCCTGTTTTGTTGTATGACTGTCGAAAGGTTTTTGTTAAACTAAGTAGCCTATTATGGCCAACTAGAAACTATATCTTCATTGAACAATCGAGGATGTGACAGTTGTCGAAGCTCCGTCAAAGTTCGACGAGCATTGGTAACCGGTAACAGCTATTGTACAAGGAGTACCTTCGTATCCAAACGACTATTTTGAATTTGCAGGAACATTTGTCAGTCTAATCTCATCGAAACAATTGGTACTCGAGTTACTTTTCATTTCATATAACCTTATTATAATATAACATAACGCTACGGCGCAGTTTAACAGTGCGCTGTTCCAACACACGAAAGAATCGATTAAGTTCCTGCAAACGTTAATGCTTGCACTCAGGTTCCCGCTGACCGACACGAACCCGGCAGGCAAAAAATGTTTTCAGTCATATGTATACCACCGCCATAAACTTCGACCGTTTCGGCCTAATTCCTTTCACTAAAATTCTTTGGTAACAGTAAAGGAAACGTTTACAAAACAATACATAGATTAGCTGAACATGTGTTTTGAGACACCGAAGAGTTTCAGCGTCGACAATAGACATCTGCCATTGAACGGAGCACTGGACCGCGAAAACAATTGTTCCCATGGCCATTGTCAGATTTCGATTTTACGAACAGTTTACTCTGTAGAAACTTAAAACTAACTCGCAATGGCGCAAATCCAAGTGCCTGAAAGTGCTGAGATGGCCCGACTTACGGGACGTACCGTGTATTGTCTAGTAGTCCAGACTCGCTACGTAGTGTGCAGTGAGATAAATCACATAGTAAAGTGTGAAGACTCAGTTCAAAAGGATAATTTAACGGGTTCCTTTGGAGCCCGCATTACCTCGGCAAACGACCTCGCTCTGTCTTGTTTCACTACAAATATTGGTAAACTGAATATCTGTTCTTTAGAGAACGCCATCTATTGTCTTTTTTAATGCATGGAAGCCATTGAAGTCACATAGACTTAAATGTTGAGGGTGCGAGAGCAGAAGACATCATTCGATTCTATGTTACTCGATCCAAGACGCTATTCAAAGGTCTTGCGTCGACGTCGGGTGATTACGTTATGTGCTATTGATTGTCGCGTCACATAGCCATAAGGTTCTAACGGGGTGCGAGATAATTTGGCGGCACTGATCGTTTCCTTTACAAGCAATAATTCATGATGACATGAGTTTACGTCCGGCACAGTCACCAAAGTAACTCCCCTTCCTTTTTGGTGCCAACCACTCGCCTCATTCGTTTCTGATCACTTCCTCTGTAGTGTTTAACGGTAAATTTCCATTTTTAGAATGGTTGCGCTAGTACCAAAGCGTCGTTCTGTTAAAGCCTTGTTATACTGTGTTTGCATTGTTCTTTGGTGGACTCGAACAGCGTTTTCACTTCCGACAGGCAAAAAGGAAATAGTTGAGCATTGATTTTCAGCGCTAAACGTCAACTCGGTTTGTTAATGTGCTGTTCTTTATTGATAGGCAATTAGCTTATGGGCGCAAATAGAAAAAATAATATGAAAGATGTATATGTATCTATCCAATTGCCTGTCATGGTTCGTGATAGAAATTTTCAATCCCCTAAACAGCTCTAGCAAGCTAACATTATTTTGAAAACGAAAGCTGCGTTCTGAAGAGCGTGTCATCATGGCCCGCGTTCTACGGAAAGCTTTTGAGGCGGGGGGGTCAGCTATGAGTCAGTATCGAGCGTATAAGTGATGTAACGGTTTCGCTAGAGAGCACGTTAAAGAGGTAACACCCGCTCTGGACGACCCGTCAGTAACAACAGACAGAAATACCGAATTAAATAGACAACTTCTTCCCCTCGACGACTGCTTAGAATATCGCATCACCACTATAGCAATAGCAATAGTAGAAAGTGAGACATGAATCCTAGCAGCTCCTGTTGCTTCCTGACGCGAGCAAGGCTAGGGAGTTCCCCGTGTGCCTATACGCTCCGCTCGTGAACGTCGCAGAATCAAGACACTTACGCCACCATGCGAGCGTAAACTAACTAGACAACCAAACGATCAGGCTTACCGAACAGACAAATCACACGTTAGTTGCGTGGCCTTTCTGAAGGCCGAGGTGGTTACCGCCTCGGGGAGCGTTTAGTCGAGCGTGATTAAAGGGACGGCATACTCGTGCCCAATGAGTGGCGGGGTGGCAGACCGTCCTGGACAGACATCCAACCGTCGGTGGATGTGAACGCTTACCGGAGAATGAAAGTGGGAGAAACTCCAGACAAATCGATAATTCGTACCCACTCATGGAAATAAGGCACCCGAGCGTGAGCTGAGTGTCGCAAGATCTAGCAGGCTGTGTCAGGCTAGTCGGACAGCGGCCGGCTATCGGCTCAAGCTGCCACTACAGCATCCGATTAGTTACTTACATGAGATCCATTAACTATTTTACTGTCGTGAGTGCCCGCTTGTACGGGTAACAGACACAGTTAATGGTTAAATAGATGGCGCTTTTGTATTGCAGCGAGATCTGTGGTAAAAAGGATAACGAAGGTAGCATTACTGTCAGTGTACAATGCTGATAAGGTAAAGCTAAGTGCGCGGGTGTCGTGTCTAATTGAGTGGCACTATATGCACGATACTGCTTGTTGTCGTTGACATGATGCCAGGTCAAGGTTTTCATCACTGAACTATACTGGACCTTCCAACGGATGGGGAATAGCATTCGCTAGATTTATAAGGAGCATGTGCATTGATGCTATTTCTTTGATCCAACTCTTCTGTGAATGTAAATTTGACCAAAACATTGTTAGCTATGTTATGCGAAGCTGTCAAGGGTATTTTATGAGGGCACAAAATGGAAAATCATTATTCAGCAAACACTGAATATCTGCCCTTTATTCTATAAGCTATGCCGGAACTAAGACAGTGTTTTGTGCGATGATCCTGTAATTATGAACCTTGTCGATAGTAGAGGGCCTCACCTTCCAGTTAATATATTGAGTGTTTCTATAGTACTCCTTGATCGGAAAAGCGACGGCCAGTTTGTGCAATAGCAGATCATATTGTTTGATAACAAACACTTTGTTAATCATACGTGTTTGTAATAATTATATGGGTAACTAAACGGTACTGAAACAATACTCTGCCTGGGTCGCAATAAAAATGCTTACAATCGTCTCTCTCTCTCTCTCTGGCTCTGTTTAGGAAGCGAGTTTACGATCAACATTTTTACCGTCCTCATAATATGGCACACTATCAAAGTGACGTTACAGCGGCCAGCTAGTATAAAGTTTGTGAAGCCTTGTTACGCGTCCAGTATACCGGTTAATACGTATATAACTAAGGGGGTATGTATTGCTGGAATGACGCCAGCTCGCCCAGTAGTTAACTATTTGTAATAGCTACGCTGGCTAGTCGCCATAGTTAACAGCTTCTTCGTTCTGTCCTTATGTTTCCTGTAGTGGAATCAAAGCAACCATAGCGACCACGGACAAGATCTGCACCAGACTGCTCATAGGAGTCCTCCTGTGAACATCATATTTTCTCACATAACAAAAGGGGTAGCAGTCCCCCTTTCGGCTTGGCTACAGGGGCAAAAAAGATCACAGGCGCTCCCTCATTATCCAAAATAGCCGTCCGGCCAAGATACTCGTGGTGAAAGCGTCATCTGCTCACGCTTCTCATGAATGCGATCCACAATGACGGGTAAAACGCGACGTCACTTATAGAGGCGACCAAAACCTGGTACGTACCGTAACAGTGGCAGTATTTTGGTAATTAACTCCCTGCTGTATTTCAAGCGACGCCATATTCAAAAAAGTTCGTCGGGGCCTTATGGCACGGTATGTAATAGATGTCGTAGGCCTCTAATCAACTAACATGAAAGGTACCGCTAAATGCTTGAGACGGCAGGAAATGAGAAAATTTAATAGGTGGATTAACTATGGCTAACGTGGCTACACGACGGCGGCACAAAATAACGGCTGTAACGGTAAGCAGAAAATCGATTATTTGGACCGAAAGAATAACAAGTTGACTTAGCGTGACGAGTAATCCAAACGTATTGTTAGCTCTAGTGGCCTATTTTGGGTCACGTCGGTGTCATAAAAAAGTTTGGAACACGATATAGGATATAAAGGGTATAAAAGCCGCCGTCACTCACTGATACACTGTCAGTCTCCGAGTAACGGGGATTAATATATATATATATATATATATATATATATATATATGTGTGTGTGTATATATAATACGATTCGATAAAACCCATTTGCCGATAGCAGTGTATCCCAGACGCACTCATCGCTCCGAATATAACCCTTCGACCCAGCGGGATTATTCGATTACCTGCCTTCTACCCGAAGAAAAGATACGGGACAAAACTATAGTTTTTACCCCGTTAATTTGTTTGCGTCACAATGTTTACTCGACGATCGCTCGTCTACACAGAAGCTTTTAACTAGTGTTGTCGAATGGCCGAATTTTATCTGGAGCAAAAGCGTCACCTTTATTTTTCTAACACACTACGCAAGCTCTCCGCCGGGTACTTCGAACTCAAGTTGATGCTATCTAGTCCTTCTCGTCGTCGATTGCTACAGAATAAAACATTCACTCGATCCTAAGGCCGACACCGAACCCTTTTATTGTCTACATGTGCCTCTGTGTTCTTCGGCCGCCGAACTGCCTGAATGCTTAATGTTCGGGGGGCCCGGCAGGTGGTTCCGCTACCGCTGAAATAGAGAAGTAGCAATTCAGAACAAGAAGAAGCAGGTCTCAAGGGAAAGACAGGCCAGGCAGCTCATTGGAGTTGCCCTCCAGGAAAACAATTCGACAACGATGAAGATGCCCCTTGCTACAATAACGGATATCGACGAATGCAGTTTTCTTGTTTCTTTATGTGTACGTGAAGACCCCTGTTGAGCAACGCGGAAAGCATAGACGATGCTTTGTAAGCCTAATTTTGATTCGTGTTTCACACTTTGTTTCAAAGTTCGTCTCAGTATAAACTTTACGCAGTGATAGCATAAAGTAATCAAAATAAAAAATAGTATTTGCATAGAGTCATCCAGCTGCAATGAATGCGCACACTAGAAATTCATTCGCCAGACACATCATAAATGGGTCACTCCATGCCGAAAGTGGTCCCGGTAGGGAGTGTCAGGTCAAAAGTGATTCTTAGATGAACAACCTGTCTGTTTACCTGTAACCGAATTTTTTTTTTAACACATAAACAGGTAAGCACTTGTCTACGAGTATTGAGCTATATGATAAGGCATAAAACAGGGTTTATAATTCACCGAAGTTATTTCTATTAATAATCTCTTGAAGGACGGCCCTCCATTAATCGACGATTCGGGCAGGCAGGCCCTGTAGTCTTCTTGTAATATGTGAGGGAACAATCCAGAACAATTATGGAACTTACTAATTGTACTACTGTGACCATAATTATTTATTTCCTAATTAACGTATCAGACGAGGTAGTCAAGCTATAAGCCCTATAATATCAACGATAGTCGGCATGTAGTGATGACGCTTAAAACAAAATAAAAATCTAAAAACCAATGCGTTATGTAATATATAGTTCTGCCTAGTTATATACTTAGGCTACGTCTTATCGTAAGTCTACATCTACGCTTTAGTTCTCTTCATTTGTCGCCTATATGTATTCCGTCTTGAACTTTTCTTTACGCTGACTCTTTTCGAATCCACATTTGTCTGCCCCTATGGTAAATGTATAATGACATAATGGATAAAAAGCCTGAACCAGATAGCGCCAGCCAATACAAATATTGGGCATCAAATTGAGGGATTCTCAGAGATGGGAAGTGACGAAAGAAAGAAAGAAGAATCTTCTCCGTGCGCATTGGAATACTAGCTGTCGCACCCCCTCTAGAGAATCTAACCACCTGGCCTCTAACGCGCAATAAAAAGTGTACTGCCCCAGCGGACACCACAGGACAAAACAGGCCAAGTGCAGTGGAATCAGTCAAACAAATGATTATACGAAAAACGCCTTCCGGAGCGTTTGACAGCGATGTCCAACCAGCGTCTAAGCCACGTCGGATTGGCCGTAAGGACAAACTAGAGAACGATTTTGGGGAATCCCACATTCCTTTGCCGCGATTTCTCGCCTTCTGTCGACATTTTCTAAGTGTCCTTAACAATGGTTGATCATGTCAAGCCGCAAAACTAAGAATGCATGCATATGTCCTAGCATACCTGAAATATCCGCGCCTCGGAATTTGACGGATTTCTAGCTCCTTCGGTATTTTAACAGGCTCGAGCCAAAAGGCCACTCTCAGACTTGTTCCAGAGTTTTTATAGCACACAAATAAGCCCTTTGGACAGTGCTCAGAGCTAAATAACTGGAAGAGAGAAGAAAAGCTACACAAAAACTGTTTAGCGGCCTTCGCCAACAATAAAAGAGAAAGCCCATCCGCACATTTCTGTGCTACAACCAACTAGGGTAAAAGCTGAATTCAGGTAAATTTTTTGAGGAGTTCCTAAAGGCGGATCGCTATGATACACTCGGAGTGTGCCTACGATGGGCTATCGGTGGCGAGTTAACGATAACCGGGCCTTGTTCCCCGGAACCCAGGTTCACCAACGCGACAGGACAAGACACTTAGATTTTTTTGGAACGTTGAAAGAGAAACGATGACGCTCGAGATATTGTTCCGTGCCAGTTCGATATGTAGGTCGGCTTAAGGCGACAAGAAAGAGCGTTCAGGTAGTAAGAATCCAAGAGTGAAAAAACGGCCAGAAAACAATGATGCCGAGCTATATTATTATTGTTATTATTATTATTATAATATATGTATATATAATGCCGAATGCGCAAGGGAGATTTGAGTCATTGTTGCACGGACAAGTACGATTCATCCACGCAGGATTAGTAAGATGATTTATTTTTCAAACGAATTTTTCGAAAGATCATGTTCAGGCTTCAGGTCAAAGCTGGAACAATAAACTAGGGCAATTTCATGCATCCAGCTGTTTTAAGATATGTGGAGATCAATTTGAAAGAATCATAGTCGCATAAAGCTGAGAGCTATTTCGCTTTCGTTTTAATACGTTCAGCGTTGCAAAGATAATATTAGCAAAATACGAAACGTTACCGTGGCGCTGACTGTCTCGATTTGATAGCATCTTGTTAACCCAAATCAATAGAACTTATTATAGCTTATCAACATAATTTATCTACATTGAAATCTAGCTTCTATAGTAACATTGCACGTTCAGCCAGTTGCGGATCCTTTGTTAAACAGCAGTCGAAAAAAACACCCCTTGAGAACGTCCATATCATCTATTATTAACAAATCTACATTCAAAAACATACTGAAATCGTAATGGCCACTAACCAATTAATGAATATTGATCGGCTACTGTATGGAAAAGAAAGTAAATGAAAGAAAGAAAGAAATGTCTGCAGCGAGCGCTATTTGTTCTCATTTTGTGGTCCTGCCAAATGCGTTTTAAGAACTTTTTAGCATAGACTAATTCGAAATGTTTGGAGATGCTTTTCCCGTCGCCTTTGAATTGAAATAGCTCGCTAACATTTAGCAGTCACGAACGGCTCGTAAAATACGTCCTGATGATGAGTCCTCAACATGTCACGCGCTCGATTTATGGAACGCCTATCAGCGTACGCATTGAACGATGATGCTTCGCATATGGAGCTATATGGCAGAAGTAGTCAAGTGACACACAATTGAAACTTTCGGGGTAGCTCAGCCTGCAAGCAGAAGGGTATTAAGCGGAAATCATCAAGCGGAAAGCTTGAACTAATTAAGCTATAGGGATGATGGCAAAACATCGAGCATTTTTTTGTGTGACTGTATGCTGCTGCTACTACTACTACTACTACTACTACTACGAGTCCAAGTAAGTGTTAGTTGTGTTCTATTAAATGGTACAGGAAGTGGGAACAATCTGTGCCTATTTAGATGTCACGGGCGGACGATGTTTACACCACTGAAGGACAATAACCTAAAATTCATGGACAACGTTTAAGCTTTCCAGTCATATGGTATATAATCAGTCATCTAACCAAGACGTAATGTAGTTAGATAAGCAATGGATAACTTTCAACTCAACGTCTAGTAAAATCTCCATGGTGAACACCTGAAGGTCTTGCGGCATGTCGCGTCGGAAAGTTTGTTTTAGCACCGATTTCCCTTGTCACATAGATGTTTGCCAAGCTACAAACAGAACGATGCAAAACATGTACTAAACTTACCATTCGAGTACAGTGTATTTGCTCTTGTGATTCACAGCGAACTGGCGGGTGCGATTGTAGGGGTATCGTACTATCAACACTACATCCCAGGTTACGATCTGATGATGTCAGGCGCCATCTTTCAGTGGCGTAATCCAAAAGGCCACTGTGCGCGGGCCTGCTATCGCGAACGTGATATTGTCCTTGACACCACCGTGCCTGATTACGTTATGACAAAGCTGAATCTCGATTCGACACAGGGATACCTGAGCAGTCTATCAATAACGTTCGAGGCACCTGGAAATAACGTTATTAGGTTTCACTGTACCTGGAAGCTTACTATTGGGAGATATCTCCCACGAATAGGTGGAGGTAGCCTTTTCTACCGCTAGCGTACACTTGAAACCGCTTTTAATCGACGGCAATTTGTTTTAGTTGCCGAGTAAAAAAAAAAAAAAAAAAAAAAGCTTGAATTCCTTCCCATATATATTCTTACCTGAGTCTGTTGCATAGGGATATTTAGCTAAACAGTACAATACAACAGTCTGTTTTAAATTGTTGTTGAGTACATCTCAATATATGCACAGAAAATCGTGCTCATCTTCTATTGGATTAAAATTTTCAACTATTAATTAAGTTTACTGATCATTATTTGAAGACTGAAGCAGATTCAGGGCAAGACTCCGTTAGTGCGTCCACTGCAGAGATGATTTAAAGAGTACCTTAAAAATTCTATTGTTCTATGAAGTGTGAGGGATAGATTTGTTTCGAATATGAAGGAGCAGAGGCCCTAGCACCTATGAATATATCCATTTATTATCGATCCTTCTTTACGGATTCCACAATAGAAATTGGCGTGTCTCAATAATTTGAGTCCATATTTAGTTCAGCTTAAAAGGACAGCAGAAGATTTATGTATTCACACAAGCCACTGTTTCAGTAAAATAGTCGCGATGAGAGCCAGTTAGTATAGCCTGGTGGAGATTTACCACTAACTACGACGCGCTACTAGTTCTACCCCTCTCGCTCTCCTACAGATGACTTTGTCCTATTGGTAGATAGAAAACAATGAACGGTTTGGCGTCCTGGTCGTAACAAAGGACAAGACAAGCCATACTTGTCTGGTTACACAGAAAGATTTTTGCTGATTTAATATAATCGACATATCATCGCTAGGGTAACCAGAAAATCACATTGCCTGTTCCTAATGACGCTAATAGATTGAGGATGAGCGAAGCGATTAGGGCCATAATAGCAGTTTCGCATTGCTGCCAGCGCCTGTTGACTGTTTATAACCTTCAATATCGTAAGAGCTAATAGAAAAACGCGCATTTCAAACGAGTCTGTAGTATCGAGAACGGCTTCGATGCTACTGCCCCTTTGGCTTTCGAAAGAAAAAAAACTACGCAGTTCGCTGATATCATCTAGTTCACAAAAGAAATAGCTTAGCTCGAGCCGCTTATAAATAAAAGGTTGATGTTGGGAAAATAGCAAGAAAACAGTATGGTCTACACGTTTGTGTTGAGCATTTTTATGGTATAAAAATTGTGCTTGCCTGTTCTCAAGTAGACGAAAATCCATCGTTCCGTCTTTGCCTTACTAATCAATCACTAGTTATTTTATTGCGGTCAGAGTAACAAGAATGAAGTTGCCTAGTCGGCTGATATTTCGGTGAACGAACGCGGTATTAACAGCACGTTCACGAACCCCACAACTGCATTATCATTATAAAACATTTTTACAAACATTCACAGGTTCAAATGCACACATATAACCGATGTCACGTCAACGGCGGACGCAAAAAGTTCCGTACGCCGTTTTCGATTGGTTTTTTTTGTTGGTGCACGCTAGACTACTAGTTTATTGTTCAGCTGTTGGCGCCCTATCGAGGCGTTGCGCTGAATCCAGAACAACGACCATCGAAATTCAGCCTCTGTTCTCTCTAAGTGATACGATGTCGCTACAAGTACTCCGTGCAAAGTTGACCTGGTGCATTACTTTGGGCTGGCCTTTCTTACTATAAATTTTCTCCCGCTGGTATTATACGCTGTTATCCTCAAACGCATTGTAGCGTATTTTTGCTCAGGCAAGCCCTGGGGCGAAGGATGCTCGTACCCCCAGAGATGTTTCTGCCACGACTGCCCATTTGCCTCCGCCATGATTTTGGCCTTTTTTTTTTTCCTTTCGGATCCGCCATTTCGCGTTCGACCCT